GCTTTCCTTATACCTGATTACATGATGAGCTCAAAACATGGAAAAAGCAATGTTTGTGTAGGATTTCCTTTAAGATAACTTATATACTATTGAAAACAATATTCAGATATTTTCAGAATATGCCTAGGGAAGAGTATTTTTTTAAATACTATTTTATACTCACAAAGTAGGAGAATTCAACTTTTTTGTCTTAATATAAACAGAAAAAAATCAACAAAGAAATATCAGAGTTGAACCAAAACTTTGAACAAATGGACTTAATAGATATAGACAAAGTGTTCCACTCAAAAACGGAATTCTTTTTCCAAAACAGACCACATACAGTAAATAAAGCAAGCCTTGGCAAATGGAAAAGAATCAAAATTTTTACCATGCATATTATCAGATCACAGTACAATTAAACTAGAATTTGATATCAATGAAACCACAGAAATTATGCAAACATGTGGTAATTAAACAACATACTCTTGAATAATCAATAGGAAGAAATACCAGTACAACGTAGTACAACTTATAGAACACACTGAAAGCAGTCCTATGAGAGAAGTTTATAGGGGAAAATGCCTACATCAGAAAAACAGCCCAAAAGTGATCTAATAATGTACCACAAGATCTTAGAAAAATAAGGACAATCCAAACCTGATCTTGTACGTGGAAAGAGATTATAAATATTAAAACATAAATTAATGAAATGGAGATTTTTAAAAAATCAATGAATTGAAGAGTTAGTTCTTTGAGAGAATAAATAAAATAGACAAATTCTTAGACAGTCTTACCCCCCCCATAAAAAGGAAAGAAAAGACACAAATTTTTATGCAATTAGAAACAAAAATGGTGACATCACAATGGATACCACTGAAATCTAAAAAATTATTAGCAAGTTCTTCACAAGCACATATGCTAAACAATTGGAGAACTCAAAAGTAGTGGAGAGATTTCTAGATACATATGAGTTGCTAAAACTGAAGCACGAAGACTTAAAAAATTTGAACAATCTAGTAACAGGCAGTGAAATTGAAGCAGTAATAAAAAAGCCTACCAAGAAAAGCCCAGGACCTAACAGATTCACAGCCACATTCTACAAGAACTTCAGCAAAGATGTAATAGCAACATTCCTCAAACTGTTTAATGAAATTGAGAGGTAAGGAGTACTTCCAAAATTATTCTTAGAAGCTAACATTGTCTTGATCCCAAAACTAGACAAGGATCCAAGCAAAAAAGAAAACTAAGGCAATTTCTCTAATGAACATAGATGCAAAAGTCCTTAACAAGATACTGGCAAACAGAATGTGACATATCATCGATAAGATCAGACACTTCATCCCAGGGATGCAGGGATGGTCCAACACATACAAATCAATAAATGTAATTCAGTACTATTAGGGCTTGTATCCTCCAAAGCCTCATGCACTCATAGATGGGGCTTTTGAGAGCTTGATCTACGGCATGCAATACTAGGATTAAGGGTGAGTGCTACTAAATTACTGCATTGATTATAATTAACATAGTTCTTAGGGTGGTTGAGTAGATTTACTGAAGATGGAAGCCCCACCATGTGTGGGTAGCACCACTCAAAAGTCTAGCAGCCTGGATGTAATAAAAGGGAAAGGAAGGCTTGCTGCTGCTGATGCCCCTGCTGCTGCTGATGCCACTGCTGCCACCACCACCACCACCTGCTGCTTTCTCTTCCATGGACTGTTTCTCCTCAGCCATTCCCCCTCTGCAGATGCCACCCTGCCTTAGAGCTAGCCAACTATGGACTGAAACCTCTCCAACTGTGAGCTGAAATAAACCTTTCCTCCTTTAACTTGTGGGTGCATTGAAAAGTAACCAAGACATGAAAAGAAGCAAGAACAAAAATCACATGATCATCTCCATAGCTGCAGAAAAAACCTTTGACAAAATCCTTTATCCATTATGATAAAAACCCTCAAGAAAATAGGCATAGAAGGTCTATATCAACATGACAAAAGCCATTTTTGACTAACCTAGTGCCGACACCATATTAAATGGGGAAAAGCTGAAAACATTCCCCCTAAAATCAGGAGCAACATAAGGATGTCCATTATCACCACTACTGTTCAACAAAGTCCTTGAAACTCTAGCCAGAAAAATCAGAGAAGAGAAAGAAGTAAAAGGGGTGCATATAGGAAAAGATGAAATTAAAATATCATTATTTGCAGATGACATTATTCTTTACTTAGAAGACCAAAAAAATTCCACCAAAAGACCCTAGAATTGATAATCAAGTTCAGTAGAATACCACAATACAACATAAGTACACAATAATTTGTAGCATTCCATACACTAATAATGAACTCAATGAAAACACAATTAGGAAAATAATGCAATTCACAGTAGCTTCAAAAAAATTAAATACTTAGGTAGTAATCTAATTAAGATAATGAAAGATATCTCAATGAAAATTACACAAACTGAAAAAGAAAATCTAGGAAGACATCATAAAATGGAAAAATACCCCCTTGTTCCTGTTTATCCCCAACATAATCAAAATGGTTATACTTCCAAACTGATACACAAAATTAGTGGAATCCCAATAAAAAAACCAGTTTTCATTTCTCACAACAATCCTAAAATTTAAATGAAATCAGAAGAGTTCTAGAAGAGCGAAAGCAATCCCAGGTAACAAAAGCAAAGCAGGTGGAATCACAGTCCCAGACTTGAAGTTATACTATAAAGCTATAGTGATTAAAACAGCATGGTACTGGCACACAAAAAAAGCATGTGGATCGATGGAACAGAAGAGCAGAAGCAGAAACAACCCTAGGCAGATACAGCTATTTGATGTTTGACAAAGGACCTCAAAGGATACGCTGAAGGAAAGATAGCTTCTTTAATGAATGGTGCTGGGAAAATTGGATATCTATGTGTAGAAGATTGAATCTAGATCCATATATCCCACCATGTACTAAGCTAAAATCAAAATGGATCAAATAACTAACTATAAAAACAGAAACAATCTGCTGGAAGGTAAAATAGGCAAACTCTTGAAAACATAGGTGTAGGCATGTCCTTTCTGACCAGACCCCCAGTAGTGTAAGGAATAATACCAAAAATCAACATGTGGGATCATATCAAATTTAAAAGCTTCTGCACAGCAAAGGAAACAATAGAATGAAGAAGGAATCTACAGAATGGGACAAAAAATTTGTCAGATATTCCTGACATAGAAGACTTAACATCAAAAATATATAAAGAGGGCTAGGGATTTAGCTCAGTGGTTCTGCCACCTGCCTCGCAAGCACAAGGTTTTGAGTTTGATCTCTGGTACCACCCCCAAAATAATGATAATGATAATGATAATAATAATATATAAAGAAAGAAAAAAGATTAGATCCCCAAAATAAAAGACCCAATAAAAAACTGGGCAACAAAATGAATAAAAAAGTCTGAAAAGAAGGACAAGTACATGAAAAAATGCTTATCATTGCTGGCCATTAGGGACATGAAAATTAAACTACACTAAGATAACTTCTTACCTTAGAAACATTGGTTATCATCAAAAAATCTAAAAGTAACAAATGCTGTGAGGATGTGGGTAAAAGAAACTCTACTACATTGTAAACTAGTACAACCACAATGGAAATCATCGTGAATATTACTCAAAAAACTAAAACTGAAATTTCATTTGGACCAGCAATCCCCCTCCTAGGTATCTTCCCAAAAGCATTAAAATCATATTACAGGGATACATACATACCCGTGTTTATAGCAGCATGAGTTATAATAGCTAGATCTTGGAAACAGTGTGTGTGTCCATCAACAGATGGCTAAGGAAATGTGGTATTTATACACAGTGGAGCACTACACTGCCCCAAGAAAAACTAGAGGCATTCATAGGTAAGTGCATGAAACTTGAGAACATAATGTGTGAAACAAGTCACACAAGCTCAAATATTGCATGATTTTTCATATATTAATAAACATGGGGCCAGGGATTTAGCTCAGCGGTTCACTGGCCTGCCTTGCAAGAGCAAGGACGTGAGTTTGATCTCTGGTTACCCCCCCCCAAAAAAAAAATAAATAAATAAACATATGTATCACACAAATATATACATACATATATTTACACACAAAGAGCAAAATAGAAAATAGAAGTTCAAATACTTTCCAAATGACAGATTCTATTGGGGTTTTTTTTTGTTTCTTTGGTACCAGTGATCGAACTCAGGACCTTGGGCTTGTGCTTGCAAAGCAGGGGGCAGAACCACTAAGCTAAATCCCTGGCCCCAGATTCTGTTGTTTTAAAAACATTTCAATAAATATGCTAATTTGCTTCATTTGCCTAAATACTTATCTAAGTTCATTGAAAAGAAAGTTGGTATTATTTGTTGATTTTTTTTTTCCATAAGAACATTTTGGGTTTCTTTCTTGTACTGAGCAACTACTTTGATGATAATGATACACAATATAGTAACTATTGTTATTTATTGTCATTATTTGGTTATGAAAATGTTTTTTTCATAAAATGAAAAATGCAGAATTAGAAATATGTACATCATAACTAGACTTATTACCTTACTACTTTGAAAGTGCTTTCTTAAAATTGTAGTCAGTCAAGTTGTTATTTTAATCAGGGGTAGCTAATTTCTCCTGCAGTTTCTAGCTTAGCATTTGGGGAGTCACTGTGTATAATTCCTTTGTGAAGGTCGTATGCTTAATAACTTTAGTCCTGCAGATCAGACTGACTTCTAAACTAACATAATGCTTTGCCCTGCTTACTTCCTGCTTACTTTTGGTCTCTCTGATAAAGTCTGTTATTGATTATAGAGGTGCCCCTAGCCTGTGGAAACCACTAGTCCCCATTTCCTGGTATTAGAAAGGGCCACTCACGTGAAGATGTATATTACTTCAGAAGCACACCAGCTTCTGCTGTCTATACCTTTCCATTTCTAGTCAACAGGCTTTTGAGATATAAATAATTTAGAACCAAGTTACTCTTATGTTTTTAAATATTCTTAATTTCTTCTTAATTACAGAGCAAAGAAATTGCATTCCAACTTCATGAGGATTTAATGAAGGTTCTTAATGAACTTTACACGGTAAGCCCATAATCTTTCTTCTCTTGCATGAATTTTCAGTTTATATCTCACGTTTGTGGAAACACTGCTTGTCTTTAGCTTTCCATCACTGTCAGCAAACACCTGAGAAAATCAATTTGAAGGAGAAGTCTATTTGGGTTTTGGTTCCAGTTGACCTCCTGCCATGGCCAGGAGCACATAATGCACCTGAGCTGCACCCTTCCCAATGGTCAGGAAACAGGAAAGGGAAAGCTGGATTTTATACAGAGCTCCTCTCCTGAAGCAAATTATATGAGGAATCCATAATAGATTGATCCAGTCATGAGGATAGCACCCTCATAATCCACTCACCTCTCACATGCCCCACTTCTGAACCTCATACACTGGGGACCAAGCGTTCTACACCTGAGCTTTTGGGGAATATTTAAAAACCAAACATTAATACTCCTCAGTTTAGAATTTGCCTCCAAACCAGAGCATAAATGGATGAAATATCTGGTTTATCTGGTTGAAATATACAACCAATTAGATGAATGTATACTACTGTATTTTCTTGCCACCCCCCATTTTGGGAGAATTTTGGTGGGGGTACTGGGGATCAAACTCTGGACCTTGTGCTTGTGAGCTAAACCCCTAGCCAAGACCTTTTTTTTTTTTTAAGACAGGGTCTCGCGTCATAGTTCAGGCTGGCCCTGGACTCATTAAGTAGCACAGGCTAGCCTTGAATGTACAGAATCCTCCTGCCTCTGCCTCCCAACTGCTGGGATTACAGGAGTGTGTGCGCCACCTTGGCTGACTAGAGAGACCTTTTTGAAGTGTGGGGGGGTAATATAAACATACTTTTCCTAATAAAAGATATCTCAATAAAACATGTTTTTAACTGGTTAGATCATATAGGATCTTTATATTCAATTCCAAAATACTTTGTTTTAAGCTGTTGCCATTCTAGGACTTGACAATTTGGAGTTCCTTCATTTTGGATATTTTCATTTCTTTTCCTCTTTCTCTCACTTGCCATTGTAGTTCAGTTGCTTGGCTAATGATGTGCTACATTAAAATTACATTTTTGTGATCTATCTTTTCTTCCTTGCAATAATTTTTTTGTAACTTACATTTTATTTAGGGTATTGCTTATGATCATGAGAAATTAAATACTTTTAAACTTCTTTATTTAAACAGCCAATACCAGTGATGTTACAAGTTGGAATTACTAATGTGCCATGTAGTTTTTTATATTTAATGATCATATTTTAAATAATTAGTTTTTGATATTTTTGAGCAGTTTTTATTTCAAAAGAGAATAAAATAAGTATGAGAAATGATTATTATTAAGTTGTACTAATGATAAATAATTGCATTTTCATTATGGAAGGTTATTTGAATTTTTTTACAGGAAAATGAAACCCAGAACTTACTGTTAAAATGTGATTGATGATTTATAAATTCCATTTGTTCCTTAAAAAGCCATATGTGTACAATATAATTTGGTGAATTATATTTTTATTGCTTCATTGATACTTGTTAGTTAAAATAACCTGTAAATTAAACTTTTATAAATTGAGTGACATTTCTATAAAATGAGCTTTCTGATTTTTTGTATGTATATGTTAAATCTGCATTTTTCATATATATTTGCTATAGCTGTACTTATGAATTGAATTGACAGTTTCTATGTGTTAATTTCACCTTCAGAAACTTTTCATTTTACACACAACCTACATGTTATTAGGTGTACAAATATACCAAATATTTTAATGAGTTGATTTTTATAAGGGCCCATTACTTGCCTGTGCTTCATGTGATTTGTTAATTTCTGATAACCCAAGACATCAACCATTTTTAGAAGCCTGGTAATTTAAAAGTTAATTGAGCATTGTCCTCTGAGACTTCAAAACAAGATCAGGCAGAAATTGTGTCCTCTTTTATTGAACTGTTTTAAATGAAGACTCTTGATACTTTCCTTGTGGTTCCCTTGACTTGGGCATTGTCTTGCTTACAGTATAAACCTATCCCTAATGCTTTAAAAAACAAGTCTTTTGGCTGTTAGAGCATTGTGGACAGAAACCTATTGATTAAGGTCTGAAACGAGGTGTGCTATCAGCTTAGCAGCTGCCAAGGTAAACGTGATCTTCAGATACAAGAGAAGTCAGGAGAATGGCACTAGATTTGTATCTTGGTGAAGGCTGTGTATAGAGAAATTTCTCCTAGATACATCTTATTAATGTATTTAGACATTTAGCAGATTCTGTACAGTTGGATCAAGTCATCTGACACATTCTCAAAATGCTCATCAACTTCAGTCTGAAAGCCTAAAGGAGCTGGAATCTGGAAAAGGCTACCAGAGTTTGAGTGACCCTGTCAGAGTCTTTTAACCTCTCAGAATCACTGGAGGAATTAAGGAATAAAGGAGACAGGCAATGGGGTTTTAATTATGTCATGTGTAGATCTCTTTGAGCTCCTGAGGAAAAAAATTTTTTTTACTTTAACTAGAAAGCATGCTCAGCCCAGAGGTCATAATCTATAGGGAAAGGACTTCTGACCCCACTTCCTACTCCTGCCCCCTCTCTCATGAATGCAAATACACTCTTGTTGCTCTGAAAGGAGATTGCATTTGGTGTCTTCTTACACTTCATATTGTGTCTTGTTCAGATGAGATCAGTACATACACAGTTTATATATAGCTGGGAGTGTAGCTCAATGGCAGAGCACTTGTCTAGCATGTGTGAGATCATGGGTTCAATCCCCAGCACCAAGAACAAACCAGACCATGTCCAGTTTACTCCAGGAAAAAGTCAAGATGAAATGTGTTTGAACAGTGCACCAAGAGTTGAGGAACTATGTCTTAGGACAATGATGGTGAACCTTTTAGAGCTTTCATTGATATAAACAGCCCACTGCGGCATGCATACCATACGTTTACTTCCCTGGCTTAGGAGAATGGTTTATGTTTCTTATGCAACCATTGACTGGTATCTTGGTTATAAAAATAAAATCTTCTGGTTGCATTGTGCATAGAATTTTGTATAATACATACAATATAATAAATAGTCTGATTATGAGTAACGTTTGCTAAAGTAGCAGACATAAATTAGATAACCTTAGATAATTGAAAATGCTACTTAACTGCTTTCTCAGATTCATTCATTCTTTTTTAGGGGGTAGATATGGGGTTTGAACTCAGGACCTTGCACTTGCAAGGCAGGTGTGATGCCACTGAGCTGAATCCCCACCCCTTCATTCAGTCTTGATCCTGGAAATTCCTTGGGAGTTGAAAGTGAACATTTCAGAAGTATATTAACTTCTTTATACCAGTGACATATTTTGTTAAGTTACAGTCCTTACAATAGGTGAGAGTCTGATGGATAGACCTCCAAAGTAGGTCATCCTAAATGTAGTTTGCACAGAAATTGTTGATATTCCTAACATTCCGTCAGAGGGCTTTGTCCCAATAAGATACAAATGCCCAGGAAGATGAAAAGAAAGAAACGCCTTGTGTTTGCGTATCCTCAGAGGGAACTGAATCTGACCATCCAGGTTGTGTGGATGATGTGATAGCCATGATGTGATGAATTGACAGGTGGGTGCTATGATAGAGTACAAGATATAAATTGTTAGAGCACGAAGCCCTGGACTTGTAAGCAGGAGAGAATGGTGACATCAGAGTGGGCATCTGAAAAGGTGAAGGAAGGCTTTAAAGCTCCTCTTCTGTCTTTTTGCCCAGTTTTGACTTTGTTTGCAAAAACAAGGCCTCAGAATGGTTTCAAGCCTCCATTTAAATATTTTTAACACCGCAACGGACAGCTTGCAGTTAAGAGAGTTCAATCATGAATTACAGCGGTACTTGAAATAATTCCATGAATAAGATAAAAGTTTATATTCTCTCACACATAAGAGAAGTCCAAAAAATGGCAACCCAGTGCTGGTATGTAGATTACATAAATCCCTTCAAGAATGTGGCTTCTCCCTAGCCACTGTTCAGAGAAACCTACTTGCAAGATTTGTCTTTATAGTTCCAGTTAATAGTAAAGTTTCAGCCATTACCTCTGCATTCCTAAAAAATGGAATGGATAAAGGGAAGAAGGGCAAGCTCCTTGCCTTTCAAAGAGACTTGCAAGGAAAATTCATTGGCCCAAACATACACCGTGACCCCAGAAGGCTGCAAAACGGTCTGGAAATGAGTCATAGTTAGTCTCATTGCTAACCAATTTTTAAAATGTAGAGTCTATTAATTTGAAAGAAGAGTTACTTATATATAACTAGCAATGGTTGCTGGAGGAGCTAACTTTTATTGCATGCTTATTGTGTCTGTGCTAGTCACTCAGCATACTTCTTACATTATCTCAAGTAATACAGCATCACCATGAGTGGTTGCTGTCATTATCCTCATCCTACAGCCACAGAACCTAAGGCTCAGAGGGGCTAACCCAAGGCCACACAGCTTGTAGAAAAGTGAGATCTCAGAGCTGGTTCTGGCTCCAAGCCCATTTCCTTTACTCTCATCTTATCTCTCTCTCTCTCTCTCTCTAGTTTTGGGGAGCCATTTCCCAAGTAAGACCTCTAAATGCTAATGCTGCCCCTACAACACAGAGAAATAAAGCATCTTATCACCTGCTCATTTGTATTTTCTAGAATCAATGGCATTAATGTTGCTTTAACAAAAATATAAGTGGAAAATTGAGCATGTGGCTTGATGGCAACCTGTACTTCGTAGAAATGTTAATTTAAATATGTAGCAGATGGGCTTGTTGGGCTAGAAAGTGAAAGGGTAAACCAAGATCCACAGACTCCCTTTCTGAGTCTAATCTGCTCATTCATTTCCTTTTGAATTGAACATTTGAAAGAGAGCTAAAGGGTAGAATTAGCAAGTTTGAGAATAGGGTTAGGAAACCAGGGAAAGTATTATGCTGTATTGAAACAAAAATGACTAGACTGGCAGTCAGAGAACTTGTATTTGAATCTCAATTTCAGTAATTGCTAGTTGTGTGGCCCTGGAAAATTATTTAGCCTCTGTATTTGTCTGA